TGGTTTTCTCATTGCTCTAGCAGCTTTCACAGCCTTTTAGTAATGTAACAGGATCCAGTTGGAGGCTCTCCACCAGGATATGAGGTGATTTGCCTCTGTGCATGTGTGTGCACTAATAAGAGGCCCTGAGACAATGACAGACACCAAACCCTAATTAGGTTGTCATGCTGAGAGAGCAAGCAAAAGATAGAAAGAGAGGGAAAGTGGAAGAGAGAGCTTATTATGGAGGATAGGTGTCAGGCGGTGGCAGGAAAAGGTGGGAGGAAGGCACAGGAGAGAGATAGGGGGGAGGAGGAGGGGAGGACGACATGGATGATAGGAGCGAGGGAACTGGTCAGAGATGAGGAGGAACAAGTTTTAGGACTGGGAAAACACTGGAAGCAGGGGAAATCAGGGATCGGAAAAAGAAGAGATGAAGAGGACGATGATGGAAGGATTAAGATACAATTAAGTAGTTTATTGTAAATACTTCAAACACAAGCTGTGTAATCTATAATAGTAATGCAAATGAATTCAACCCTGGCTACTTAGGAGCTGTTATAGACCACATTTTACATTCCAGTTTATGAAAACATCCATTATCCACTTGGAGGTAAAATAGAAGCAAAGCTTTGTTGTAGGCATCAAAGCTGACTGGTCTACATATGTTTCTACTACAAACACTAGGAGACATGTCCCTAAAGTAGCACAACAGCAGCTAGTGTTCCAGTGTCTGAAGTCCTGCCAGCTTCCATATCGTCAATGAACAATTTGCAAAAACTGGCAGGATTTCCTCAGTCTGGCAGCTTTAAAACATTTGTCACACCTTTACAGAAAAGTTTGATTTCAGACAAAACAAACCATTATAGAAGGAATTATTTTATGAAAAAAAATTGTCTGGGTAAAAATATCAAGACAAGCCTTATAGAAGTTTTTTATAGTAGAAAATTATGATCTAATGTTAACAAATTTAGAGAAATCTAGCTTTTATAGTAGTAGCTATTCTATATTTTCCCACTTTCCTTGATGGGCCCTTGTCTGGTCCCCTTTATTTTCTTTTTAAACATCAATCTTTGTACCAAAATATTCTTTCTGTCATTCGCTCTGGTCAGACCCTGTAATTCAGTAAAAGGTGGAGTCAGATTGAAAAAATATGAAAGAGGGGATCACTCCAGTGGCTGGACGGAGGGGATTTTGCTGGGAGTTGGAAGGAAGTAGGCTGCCATTGAATGGCTGCTACTGCAGCATCTCTTTGTATATCAACTTTATTAGGTACACCTGTCCAACTGCTCGTTAACACTTAATTTCTAAGCAGCCAATCACATGGCGGCAACTCAGTGCATTTAGGCATGTAGACATGGTCAAGACAATGTCCTGCAGTTCAAACCGAGCATCAGTATGGGGAAGAAAGGTGATTTGAGTGACTTTGAACGTGGCATGATTGTTGGTGCCAGAAGGGCTGGTCTGAGTATTTCAGAAACTGCTGATCTACTGGGATTTTCACGCACAACCATCTCTAGGGTTTACAGAGAATGGTCCGAAAAAGAAAAAACATCCAGTGAGCTCAGTTCTGTGGGCGGAAATGCCTTGTTGATGCCAGAGGTCAGAGGAGAATGGCCAGACTGGTTCGAGCTGATAGAAGGGCAACAGTGACTCAAATAACCACCCGTTACAACCAAGGTGGGCAGAAGAGCATCTCTGAACGCACAGCACGTCGAACTTTGAGGCAGATGGGCTACAGCAGCAGAAGACCAAACCGGGTGCCACTCCTTTCAGCTAAGAACAGGAAACTGAGGCTACAATTTGCACAAGCTCATCGAAATTGGACAATAGAAGATTGGAAAAACGTTGCCTGGTCTGATGAGTCTCGATTTCTGCTGCGACATTCGGATGGTAGGGTCAGAATTTGGCGTCTACAACATGAAAGCATGGATCCATCCTGCCTTGTATCAACGGTTCAGGCTGGTGGTGGTGGTGTCATGGTGTGGGGAATATTTTCTTGGCACTCTTTGGGCCCCTTGGTACCAATTGAGCATCGTTGCAACGCCACAGCCTACTTGAGTATTGTTGCTGACCATGTCCATCCCTTTATGACCACAATGTACCCAACTTCTGATGGCTAATTTCAGCAGGATAATGCGCCATGTCATAAAGCTGGAATCATCTCAGACTGGTTTCTTGAACATGACAATGAGTTCACTGTACTCAAATGGCCTCCATAGTCACCTGATCTCAATCCAATAGAGCATCTTTGGGATGTGGTGGAACGGGAGATTCGCATCATGGATGTGCAGCCGACAAATCTGCGGCAACTGTGTGATTCCATCATGTCAATATGGACCAAACTCCCTGAGGAATGCTTCCAGCACCTTGTTGAATCTATGCCACGAAGAATTGAGGCAGTTCTGAAGGCAAAAGGGGATCCAACCCGTTACTAGCATGGGGTACCTAATAAAGTGGCCGGTGAGTGTATATTCATAGTGGAAAGAAATCGAAGGAAGGCCAAATAATAGATAGAACGCGAGTCACTGTATATTTTGTGTACTGTTGCTCATTTGACATTTCGCCAGTAACCTGTCTGGGCAGTGGAGACAACACTTCAACGTGTCATCAAGTAGGAGAAGTTTCTACTTAATCTGCTGCTGCCTGTTTTAACTCAACATTTCAGAACTAGATTTCACCAAAAAACCCGGAGTGCATTATTTATTTTGGAAGCCAGCTAATCCATGAGATCCTTCAGAGATGCTCCCATTGAGGGATTCAATTACACTTTAAAACACTGGTTTTTTATGATTTAAATTAGATTTTATTTGTTTTATTCCAATAGGATATGATAGAGTTTTAATTTTTCGTTTGTTCAACAAATGAAAAGGTTGATCGTTTTCTATTTTAATTTTCATGATATGTTTTTATTTTCATCTACGACCTGGAAATGTCCCCAGATTACATTACAGAAATCCAGTCACCTTAGTGCACATGGGAACAACTTACCACCTGATAGAGGTGGAGATCCTGGACTTTACATAATGTTAACATGGAGATCACTAGATTTAGTCTGTGAACGCAACTTAGAGGGATCCACAATTAGCTGTGATATAACTCATTATCACTAGCTCTGTCCAGCTTAAACAGCAAGGAGTAAATTTAAACAATTTCGGTTTATACCAGGGTACTGAAATTGATGATAATGTAGAAATTACAAGAGGTGATGAAGATGAGGAGGACCAGCTGGTGTTTGGCTGCTGCTAGGAGATGCTAACCCAGATGTAGAACTATGCTACAAAGAGCTACAGTTTCTAACTGAAGCCATTAGCGGTTAGCATCAGCATCAAAATATTTATCGTTTCTCAATTCACAAGAACGCGAGTACAGACTCATTTTCTCGCCAAGTGTGTTCTTGAGAAGAACACAGGAAAGTGTAGACTTGGGGACAACAGGAGCACGCAGCATAAATATGGATCAACTGGAACAGAAGCGTACTGATGACGTCACCGCACGCTCTGTTAATCTGGAGCTGCATTTCACCTCCTGTTATCAATAAACCCTAGATAATTATAAATTCTGACTTGTTTGATTTATTGGGGGAATAATAATTAAAACAGTCAGATAAACGTAAATCAAATGAACATTTCGTCAAAAAAACAACAAAAAAATGGCCATCAGAGCCAGCTTCACACACGGCGATGCCGAGAGAGGGCTGCTGCAGACGGGCTACGTTAACCCTCGGAGGTCCGCTGGTCGCCACGCTCCCCTCAACTTCCGAACTTTTTTAAATGATGCACTAAATCAGTAAATGGGCCATATAATGATGCCTAAAACTATAATGTTCTGGCCTCAAATGATCTTAAAATGTACTTTTATAGAACAACGGCAACTGAAAAGCTCTATTGAAAGCTGCTGCTGCTCCAGTGAATGCTGGGACATCAGTCAATCTCAAGAACGGACAAGTCTGCTCTGATGCATGCTGGGTAAAGAGGGAGGGGCAAGAACAACATCCGGGGACTTTGTCTGTTCTCTGCTGTTCTTGTGAATTGGAAAACTACTAGTGCTGAGGCTGATGACGGTTCACGAGTACACAAGCACATCAGAACGCACAAGTACACATATTTAGAAATGGCCATTTCCTCAGATATATTAGAAAGATGACTTACAGTGACTGAAAAATGTGCACCCGGTCACTTTAAACAGTCCATTGTCTTCTAATTTGATTTTTATTTATTTTTATCTTCTACTTATGGTGTTCCTCTAGCCAATATAGTAAACAGTAGATCCATGCAGATCCCATTTGTTTGCTGCAAGAGATATCTCATGAATCATTAAAACTTTTAGGCAGCATCATGTTGTCTAAATTTGCACCTGTTAAACTAAAAACAATAATAAAAAAAAACAACTCTGCTAATGTTAGCCTTCCTGTGTTTAGTAATTTTGGGTTCTTGAACAAGAGAGTTCATGCATTGCACAGGTGAAAAAGTGGGGACCTCCAAGGGTGAAAAATATAACAAAGGATGTATCATTTTGTAAGTAAGTAAAGGGTAGAAAGTATGCCATAAAGATAATTTGTTATGGCCTTTTTGTCATCACTGTTTTCTATAACATGCTCCAGCATCTCTAAATTATAGAGTGGCTCCCTCTCTATTCTTTTTAATTCAGACATCAAGAAAAACATGATCTCTTTTCTATTAAATGTGAGAAACAAGCAGCGAAATGTGTCACAGTTGGTCCAAAATTAAGCCTTATTCTACCCTGCAGGTGAAAACCTCAACATGCTCATCCAGCCTGATGAAGAACGCGCGTCCTCAGACTGAATTCAAAGCTATCTGTTCAGCCTGCTTTGACCTCGCTCCCATCTGGGTAGGGGAGCTTTTTGTATGAGACAGTCACTACTGCATGCATCTGACCAAGAAATGACCCTGAATCATACTTCCTCGGAGAGTCTATGATGTACTTAGAGAGTTTTTCTTCGGGGTAGAACAAACTATCGAGTCAGAATTAATTTAGAACGGATTTGTGTGGTGCAGTACCTTAGAACACAAGTGTAGAATCCGTTATCTTCCAGTTCAGCAGATCTAAACCAGATGGAGTCGTCTTCTTTGCTCAGTCTGTGACCTGAGAAGATGATAGGCTCCTGAGGGAGACATTAAAAAAGAAAAAGAAAGACAACATTTTAGTAAGTAAACCCATATAAACCAAATAAACCAGGCAAGTAAACGAAAAGCTGCGATACATTTTGGATTTCAACTTAAGTAGAGATTGTACAGCTTTTGGTAGCTCTAAAAGCAATTTTCGTCATAACTGAATGTAAATTAGGTGAACGCTGAAGGTCAAATGATACAAATTGTTGTGATTCTCTCCTTTGGGGACTTTATGGCTACTGTACTGTTTAAGTTTCTGTCTGAGTTTTCAGTTACACTTCGATTTATGTCATTCTGTGTTTTCTTGGTCATTGGTTTCGTTTCAATTTTGTGTCACTCTATTTGTTTTCTAGTGTGGAAGCATATTTTTTCCTTTGCCTATTTGTGAGATAAAATATTCTGAGTGTGCCTTTTCTCTGCCTAAATAGGGGTGATTGGCAGAGATGGGAAGTAACGAAGTACAAATACTTCGTTACTGTACTCAAGTAGATTTTTCTGATATTTTTACTTTACTTTACTACTTATTTTTATGGCGACTTTTTACTTCTACTCCTTACATTTTTACACAAATATCTGTACTTTCTACTCCTTACATTTTAAAAAATTGGCTCGTTACTTTAGTTTTGAATCATTTCAATGGAGTTACTGTTATTATTTTTCACGTCATCAATAGGGGAGAGTGGGGTAAAGTGAGACGTTTTTTACATTTGCTCCCCTCCAAGTGAGCTAAAATGATATATCAGTTAAATTTACACACTTCCCATTAATTCAGGATGTTTCCTTGTTATTGTAATCATCAGAATGTATTCAAGATGAAGGGCAGTGGAAATATGATGTTTTTAAAAAAAGTGGTCTTGTGGCTCACTTTACCCCAGCTTAGGGGTAAAATGAGACAGACCAGAGAAGTCAACGGGGTAAAGTGAACCAACTAGGGGTAAACTGATCCACTTACTTTTTCCACTCTGAAACTACCATAACAACATATGTTGTAACAGGTTAGAATCCTGACAGCAGGCCTGACAACCTCACATCCCAGAACAAATTCCAGACTAGTAAAATAACAATTGGAATTGGTCTATTAAGCACATTTTTTCCTACAACACTTGAAAGTAATTCTAAACAAAATCAAATACAACATAATGTAATTCAAAATATTTTATTAACATTCAAATGAGAGGTATGAATCACCTTGCTGCAACTCAACTCCTACATTACAAAATATCCCTTTTTATATGTATATAAAAGTCTTAATATAAAAACACAGTCTTGGGGTCAGAACACAGGAACTTTAGAGCCAGCTAGAACAGCCTGGGACTCAACAGGACTAAATCCACAATCAGAGCATTCTCTACAAATACAGTAGGCCTCTACAACTACTCCACATTCCAGCCCTGAAGATTGCAGGGAAAGATGAAGAGTTGTTCTCTACGTGTGGTCCCTCCACGCCTCTTAGGTTGAGGCAGCTTCTTCACCACATCTGCTTTGGGAACATGTGCCACATCTTTTTCTTTAATAGCAAATGTGGGTCTTTCCCACACTTTTGTGTTTCCCTGAATTTTTCTAAGGAATTGGATAAGAATTTCATCATCTTCAACTTTTTCAACCATGCCAATATACCGGAGGTTCCTGTGTTTGGTTGTAAAGTTAATCATGACAAAATCACCCACAGACAGATCTTTGTTTCCTGGATCACTTCTTTCATCCTCAGAGCTCTCTTCTTCATTATCAAATGGGACAGGGACATCACTCTCCTCAGAGCTGCTAACTACGATTTTCCTTTTGGTTGCTTTCTTTTTCGGTTTTCCCTTTTCTTTGCTATTTTTCTTTTTCCCCGCCAGTTTCTTTTGTCTTTCCTTATAAGCCTCTTCAATTGCCTGCTTCTCAGGAGTATCAGTTATGATGGCTGTCTTCACACGCTTTCGTTTGGTTTGTGTTCTGGGTGGACATTTGGGAAGTGGTAGTATTTCACGAGGAGACACATATCCAGTTCGGCTGGGAACACGTGGCACATCTGAATCAGCTGGCGAGGCACATCCATGTGGACCATGCGCAGTGGATGGATAAGCATCAGCGGGTGAATTATCTATAGCTGGTGGTTCGTCTGCAGGTGGATCATCTGCAGGGGGTGGACCATCAAGATCATCTGCAGGGGGTGGACCATCCAGATCATCTGCATTGGCAGGCTGCAGCTCAGGGTTTGGCCGGTCTGACACCATGGATGGTGCAAACGCTTCATGAGGGAAAATGTCTTGGTTATATGGGAAAATCCCAGTGGATCTAAATCCAGAAGTGATGTTGCGTGGGGTCACTGCTGACATGAAAGCCTCATTCACAAGTCCTGCAGTCTAGTAGATGGAGACTGTTTTGCCGGGGTTAGACCTCATCCACCCATCAAGAGCACGGCTGTATTGGGTCTTGAACGGGCCATACACGGTCACGTCGAGAGGCTGCATGCGATGGGATGTGTGGGGTGGGAGGGTGAGCAGAACAATTCCATTGCTTTTGGACATTTCTATTGCCTTGAGTGAGATGTGAGCTTTCCGATTATCCTGGATTAGCAGTATGGGGCGATCAGGGGTGCAGTTAGTGTGTTGTATCAGGTGATCAAGGAACTCAGGCCAGATGTCTTCATTCATCCATCCCGTTCTAGTGGCGGTACCTTTGGCTCCTGGAGGTGCTCCTGTCATGAAGCAATCCTTAAACTTGACTCTGGGGAAGACAAACATGGGAGGTATGGCATTCCCAGCAGCATTCACTGCACACACCACAGTCACCAGTTCTCCTCTCTCAGCCGATGTGACAGAACCAACTTGCTTTTTTCCTGTCTCTGTCACAACCTGATCAAATAGAAAGTTTAGAATCAATGGCATGTGCAACCAGTATTCTACTACTGGTAATATGCACTCTAGTGTACCTGCTGTGGCTTTTGTACTGTAAAGACACCTGTTTCATCCACATTGTAAATCATGTGTGGAGGGAAAGCATGCCTGTTAAAGATGAGAGGCAAAGTAAAACCTTATCAGAATCAAAGCCAAATCTTACAGGTAATGCCGCCGTAAAGCATTTGCGACTAAATAATTAATTCTGTCACCTGTCCATAACTACAGCCAGATTGTCAAAGAACTCCCTGACTGTAGTTTTATTGAAGGCTGTAGCTCTTCCCAGGGATGTTGCCTCTGGAGTTCGGATAGAGAGATGGCGACGTGCTAGGAAGCTGCGAAACCAATCTTCACCTAGAGTAGACAATTCATTATTATAAGATTTAGCTATGTGCCAAAATCAGTTGGCCTTAATTAACCTACAGAATCATGTGATCTCTTGCACACCCTAGCCTACCTGCACATTGTGTCCTTGTCCAATTGTCAGGGACAGGGATATTGTTTCTTTCTGCATATTCAAAGGCCAGTTGACGGGACTTAATTGGAGGAAGGCCATGGAACTGTTCAGCTAGTTGTTTCAAGTGTTTGGCAAGCTCCTCCTCCATCTCATCTGTAATAATTCTCTTTGCCTCAGCTACTGCAACCCAGGCTACCGATTTTACTTCCCCTTTCTCTTTTTTCTTTATGAATCTTAAAAGGCTTGACTTGTCAATATTTCTGTCCCTTGCAGCTGCTCTTAGAGACTTCTTTCCTTCCTTGACCTCAGCGGCTGCACTCTCCATCTCCTCGAGGGGTGTTTTGCCCCAGGTTGTCTTCCTGGTGTATTTCCTTGGCATGATGGCTTTTCTACAATGTTTATGACATTTAAAATAAAAAAGTAACATTACATATTAATTAATATGTAATTAATAGTAATATTACATTACATATGCAATGTAATATTACATTAAAATATGTTTACAACTAAACGTAACCTGTGCCTCATGGTGGGGGTAAAGTAAGACACTGTATCACTTTACCCCACAGCATTTGTCTCAATTTACCCCACCTCCACCATTTTTGAAAAAATTACCTTTCTTAGCAATTCAGGCTAACCTTCAGCTAGCATCATCACATGGTTTTATATGTTGGTAGTTCATCAACAGGTATGATATAAGTTTTTATACTTGAATCAATTTGCTTTGGCACAAAAGTTGATTAAGTTGACAGCAAGAAAATTTACTTTTACATGCAAAAAAACATTTTGTTGGAAAAAACATGCTTACCTCAGCAAAATGAGCTTCTCTCCTTTATGGCAAAGGGGAATGGGAGGAGCTTGGAAACAAAATGGTCACATGGGCACAAATGTGTTCTGTTGCCTAGATACAGGGGTTGTCTCACATTACCCAGTGTCTCACTTTACCTCACTCTCCCCTACTGTGAAAACGGAGCCGTTTTCCCCCTCTGTTCCCAAAGTATAACCGCCGTCTATCACACACAGCGTCACATCCTTCACTACATTTCCCAGCATGCACCACAGACCGGCCGTCATGGCGGTAATTCTCACTAGTTCCGAAATTACAACGTCACCTTTTATTCAACACTTTACTTACTCACCAGCGTAGCAAACTCTGAAGGTACCCACTGCGACAGCTTTAATATACATTCTGTAGTCGGCAATAAAACTTCCCAGTCAAATCTTCCCTTAGTCCGTCAGCATACTGGTCCGTGTGGAAACACGTACCGCATCGGAGCCAGTCTCTTATCTATTGTCCCAGGGCATTGGAAAACAGGGGGCAGGGGTATTAAGTGGGATTTCAATGTATGTAATAATTGTTTGCATGGTAATAAGTAGGTGAAATGGTAATGTTAGTATGGTTCAATTATTTCATAAATATGTATGTTTTTGTATGAATGATGCTATTGTATGCTTATTTTATTTTTCTACAATGTTAACTGTGCTTTATTGGAGATTTGCCTTCCTGTTTAATAGGCTCTATGCACAGCTCCACTACTTCCTGAATTTAAGGCAGCTCCTTTGTTTCCTGTCTTACATGATTGGATGCACTGATTAATCCAGGTGTGTATGACCTAAGTAACTGGCCAGACACACCTGGATTAATCAGTTCGTCCAG